ATAGTTCACCATATTTTGCAGCAAAGAGAATGGGACAGTTGTATTTTTTGTCTCTTTTAATGACAATGTGATCATAGCAATGTAATAAACAGTATCATTTAATCTTAAACACTCTTGTGATTAGACCCAGATAACCCATTCTTTATATATATATATATCAAATACCTACTTTTTAATTCCTTTTCTTTCTTCAACAAACTTACAAAAGTAAAACTCAATTCCACTGATGAATAATGATATTTCAAATGAAGAATGTGACAGAAAGAATAACCCCCCAAATCCACAAAAACCAATGGAATTTAAATATTTACATCATTTAATATTCCAACTAAATTCTATTTAAAATGCATTTCTGAACAATCAACAGACTTTTCTCAAAACAATCATTCAGCAAAACATCAGAAATCTGTTTTTAAATATAAACACTTTTTGTTTTTAAGACTTTATGCAAAAATTCACAACAGCCCTCAAAAAAAAAATAAAGCTTTAAGCTATTCAGCTAGGCTAAAAATTCTGGATAGTGAAAGAAGGTATTCACTATTCAAATTCATCAAAAAAATTGATTACTGCTATTCAAGACTTAAGTCCTTTTAAGAAAAAAAAAAGGAAAGCTATGTAGTAAGATAAAACACACCCAAAGCATATATCTGACAAAGAACTTTAATCCATAATATGCAAAAATTTATACAGCTGTATAATTAGAAAACAAATACCCAATTTAGTGGGCAGGGTGCTTGCTTTGCACATGGCTGGCTTGAGGGCAATCCTCAGCATCCCATTTGGTCCCCTGAGCACAATCAGGAGTAACTCCTGAGTGCAGAACCAGGAATAACCCCTAAAAATCACCAGGTGTGGCCCAAACCCCAAATAATAAATAAATAAATAATGAACCAGAAGCATTTGTAGTTTTATGAATGACCCATCAGCATATGCAGAGTTGTTAGTATCAATAGTCTGAAGGGAAATGCAAATCCAACTCACAATAGCTTGAGGATACTCCTACCTACAATGAGACTCCACTATATACTACTTTAAGTGGATAAAATTTAAAATATTAAACCAATATTGACAAGTTCATTAAGCAACAAGAAGTATAATTTATTGTTAATGGAATGTGAAATGGTACATGTACTTTGGAAAAGAATTAAACTATTTGAAGGGGGGAGTGTGGTGCCATATCTGACAATGTTCAGGGGTGATTCCTGACTCTGAATTCAGGAATTACTCCTGGAAATGCTTGGGGGACCATATGGGATGCCGAGGATTGAACCCAGGTTGGCCACAAGCAAGGCAATCACCCTTCACACCGTACTATCTCTCCAGTACAGAATTTGACTTTTTTTTTCATATCAAGTTATAACATATGCATTTGTCTTATGACCTAACAATCATACGTTTTGGTACTTATCCAAGAGAATAAACTCATATTTTCAAGCAAAATCTGGTTATTTCAATGTACATAGCAGTTTCAATACCTGGAAACAATCCAAGCAACAATCAATCCGTGAATGAAAAGCTACATTTATGTCATGGAATGTTACTCAGCACAAAAAAATAAAATCATATTGATACTCAAAAGATCAGAAAATACTTACAAAATTATGTGAGTAGTAAAAATCAAACACAATAGACAAAGCATAATGAAGGGTTCGATTAACATGAATTACTACACGAGAGAAAATTAGTATAAAAAAAAAATGAGCTGTTCCCTGTGAGAAAGTGAAGAGATAAATGAGACCAGCGCACAAGAAAACCTCAAACTTGATGGGAGAACTACAATGCCCTGACTATGGTCATAAGACTTATGAATGCACACATCTGTCAATACTCTTGCAACTGTCTGTTCAAATCATTTATTTTTACTATATGCAAATTACATTTCAATAAAGTTGGTTAAAATGTTTTCAAAGAGAAAAAACTAGGCACGCTATATTTCCTCATATCTTCTATTTTTTTAAAGAATTTTCTTTATTTTTATTTTATTATATTAGGTTTTGGGGTCATTCTTGGCTTTTCTCAGGGTTCAGTCCTGGCTCTGCACCCAGAAATTACTCCTGGTAAGACTTGCGGGACCATATGGGATGCCAGGGATCGAACCCAGGTTGGCTACATACAAGGCAAACCCTCTACCAGCTGTCTCCTGTCTACTTTTTTTAAAATGTAGGAGTATTGCTATTTATTCAGCATTGATTAAGATGATTAAATTGGGCATGAACTCCTCATTACTTTTTTTTAATTCAGAATGTTAATTTTATTTTATTATTTTTTTAAGTCACCATGAGATACAGTTACAAAGCTTTCTTGTTTCAGTTTCGGTCATACAATGATCAATCACCCAACCCTCCACCAGTGCACATCGTCCACCACCATGGGCCCCAGTATCCCCCCCATCCCACCCCTCGCCCTGCCTCTAGGGCAGACAATCTCCCCAATACTCTCTTTGGTATTGCTTATTATGAATAGTATAAGATGTCATGTGGCTGTAAGAGCAGTTGTGTGCTCCTGGAATTCTAAAATTTTGGTTAATTAGGGTCTGGAAAAATCTCTGCAGTGAGCTGCTGGGTTCAGAGATTCTTTTGTGTTCTCTGGATCATGGCCCATAAGGAGCCCTTAAGTAGTAGCTGGAGGCAGTTTTTGTGGGTGGGACCTCCAGGGTCTTATCGGGATGGGGGTGGGTAAGAGGAACTAGCCTATCCCCTATCCTGTGAGGCCTGGAGTTTGTCGTCACTGAACCCACATACCTGCACTTCTCATTGGGTTATGGAAGTTGGTGGCTGCTGGTTTTTTAGGGAGCAGGTGGAGGGGCAACGCCTACCCCCATCTGAGGCACCCTGTTGAAGCCGGCCTGGCTTAAAGTCTAGAGGCATCTCTGCAGTGAGCTGCTCCGTTCAGAGATTCTTTAGTGTGTCTCTGGAACATGGCCCTTGTTTCCATCTTTTCCAGAGAAATAAACTATTGGCATGTGTCCTGCAGGGCATGCCAGCTCACCCACAGTGCACTGCGCTGCTAGCCCTAACTGCGACTTTTGATCTTGTTCAAGATTTATGGGTCTCTGAAATAAGGCCAATAAATGAGCTTGTATAGCTGAGCCTGAGGTGGTTTGTGGGTGTGGCTTAATACTTAACTTTTGGCTGTTTAATTTCTTGGTAAACTTGGCCCCAAGTTGTTGGGGTCTGGCCAAGGGCACAGTGGCAATTTGGGGGTATCAGGAAGCCTGAAGGCACCATCAGGCTGCTAATGCACTGGCCCTGCTGGTACAGGTTGACCTGCTGGTGGCATCATACCCCCTCTCATACACCCTCCTGTCCACTTCTTAAATTAAATCTTTATATTCATAAAGACTTGAGTGTCAAGTATCCAAAACAAAAGGACACCCAGAAAAGTGACAAATATTTGATAAGATATGATGTATTTTCTTAGTTTCTTTACACCCAGAAGTTAAAACTATTGATCTTTCCTGTAAATTAATAATATAAGTAAAAAATTTTTCATATAATCTCCCCCAAACAGTAACTTAACCCCTGATATAAACCAGGTGGGGGAGATGGATTCTATTTATTAGAGGACAAAATGAGTTTATGGGAATTCAATACTCAACCATATCCAGATATATTTTATTAGAGTGTGTTACAAATGTATGTGAAGAGGTTTTCCATCTGTTTGGATGTCTGTTGCCTAGAGGAAAAACTCAAAGCTATGGTGAGTCCATCATTACACTGTGACAAGCATTTACTATTTTCCTTCCAACATATGGAGCAGGGTTCAAGGTTAAGTGTAGATTGCCAAAGATTTATTCCATGAGCTATTTTAATGGCAAAAGAACCTTGACTTTTGCTTCTTCTATTACTTAAACTAAAACTGACCTTCAAAAATATGAAGATTTCTTTCTCGCAAATAAATGGTTGGACCAATGTCTTTCATTAGATTCACAAACGGTTGTCAGTACAGAAGGTTTCAAGGACACAAGCTTTCTTTTCATTCAAGCTACTGATAACAGGACAGAAGTCTTGGGAGAGGAGAAAGGCTGAAGTAATCTTTGCTTCTTAAGAACACACAACTATTTACTCAGGGATCACATTCTACCACTTTCCAGCACTATCAACAGTTATCATATTTATTCTGTTAATGGGATGAATTTATTGTTCGTGTATAATCATTTGGGCCTAAGCTGCACTGATGTGTTTTATGGCGTGTAGTCAACGCCAATATATTATTGCTCTATAACCGCGCCATAAACTATAGATGCGACCATTGAAATGAATGAGCCAGAGTATCTACTGAGCTGCTTTTAATTATATGTTTATCTTTCCTCATTCCTTTGACTCCCATTTTATTTATACCACATGTGGTTACATGTGGTATAGAAGCAATTTTAGGGGGTTTTGGAAAACCCTAAACAATCATCTTATTTTACTTAGCAAAGCCACACTACTTACATTGACAGCAATTATATCTCTATATATCATAACATTCAGACCATTTCTGCCCCATCCAACCACACTATTTCCATTTGAATTCTCCTAAAGACTTTAGAATAAAGCCTACTTGCAGATCTTGAAGCTTTTTCCTAATTGTGTTCAAAGTTAAGTCTTCCGTACATCTTAGTTCTTTCATTATTCAGTATCATCTTACACTAAAAAATTATTCAGAGTTACTAAAAGTTCTAAATTTTGTATAGGAAATAGTTCCCTATGGATCCTATTTTAAATGTTTGTTTTGACTGTTTATCTATGCACGTATTACATTTGCTTTGACTTACAAGGGCACTGACTGTATAAACTAAAATTATCTTGCTGAGGACAAAGCAATCAAACAGTGCATGAGAGGTTTATTTTGCATGCAGCTGACCCAGGTTCTATCCTCAGCACCACATATAGGTTCCCCTCCATCCCTGCCAGGAATGATTCCTGAGCACAGAGCTAGGAGGAAGCCCTGAGCACTGCCATGGCTCCAAAAACAGCAACAAAAATTTATCCTCCTGCCCAGAGCCAATAACTCCTTTCTTTAAAAATACATAACAGTGCTCGCTTCAGTGGAATGATTCAAAGATGTTTAGCAGAGTCCCTGAGCAAAGATGATACACAAATTCATGAAGCATTCTATATTTTTGTGGAAGGGATTAAACCCATGGCTTCACATATGTAAGACATGTGCTCTGCCACTGAGTCACATTCCTGGCCCCATGGATTTGACTTTTTGATGCCAGGTCCCAATGTAATATTTAAATAAAATTTTCATATAAAATTTAAATAAATAAATAAATAATTCTGGTACCAGAGCAATAATACAGTGCGTAGGGCGCTTGCCTTGCACAAAGCCAACCCAAGTTCCACCTCTGGTACCCCATATGGTCCCCTGACCCTGCCAAGACTAATTCCTGAGCACAAAGCCAGGAGTAAACCCTGAACACTACCAAGTGTGTTTCCTCCCATAAAAAACAAAATTCAAAATATACAAATAAATAATTTTTTAAATTGGTTGTGCATGACAGGGGTGGATTGGGGGATACCCTGTGGTGCTCAGGGATAACTCCTGGCTCTGTGCTCAGGGATCACTCTCGGTAGTGCTCAAGAAAGCAATCATTGTGCCAGGGATGGAAGTGGGGAAAGCTGTTTGCAAAGCAATGGCGGCCTTACCTACTACACTATCTCTCCAGCCTCTAGAGGTAAGAATTTCTATGATATACACCTGGCCCTACTCCATCTGTGTACCCCTACCATTGTCTAGCCTCACCCACACTGGGTTGCTCTGATATCTAACTTGTGGACTCAGTTTTCCTGATTTGTCCAGAATAAGACTATGGTCTAAGAACCCTGAGCTTAGAAACTTGGCAGCCTTTGTTCTGATGGTCAGGGCTCCGGTGATGAACCCCTAAACATCACCTCTCACCCAGTTTTCTCCTCATTACCATTTAGTTCAATCTTATAAATCTGAAATACCTCTACCCACATAGTCCCTGGATTTAAGATGCTCATTGGATATTTTGCCTTCATGCCTGTGCCCTCCACTGCCTGGCTCAAACATTTTTTAAAAATTTTTAAAAATTTAATTACAATAAGATACACAGTTACAAAGTTGTCCCTGATTGGGTTTCAGTCATATAATGTTCCAATTCTCATTCCCCTTCACCAGGGCACATTTCCCACCACCAATGTCCCCAGTTTACCTCCCTCCATCCCCCCCTACCATGGCAAGCGCTCTCTCTCTCTCTCTCTCTCTCTCTCTCTCTCTCACACACACACACACACACACACACACACACACACTTTGGGCATTATGGTTTGCAATACTGAAATACAGATACTGAAAGATTATCAGGTATATCTCTTTACCTATTCTCAACACTCAGTTCTTGTCCAGTGATCATTTCCAACTATTATTGTCATACTCTAGCCCAAACTTTTCACTTCTAGCCCTGTCTTTCCTTCTAACCCACTCAAATGATGCCTATGGTTTGACATATCCGTCTGCCCTCATTTTTTGTTTTGTTTACATATTGCATGTAAATAATAATGATCTTCTCTGTGTGTCTGACTTTGGATAACAAATAACTTATCACAAGAAGAGCTTTGAGTATGGATGATTCTCAAAAAATTAGAAATTGAGCTCCCATTTGACCCAGCAATACGACTCCTGGGAATATATCCCAGAGAGGCAAAAATGTATAGTTGAAGTGACATCTGCACTTGTTTGTTCATTGCAGCACTCTTTACAATAGCCAGAATCTGGAAAAAACCTGAGTGCCCAAGAACAGATGACTGGTTAAAGAAACTTTGGTACATCTACACAATGGAGTACTATGTAGCTGTTAGAAAATATGAAGTCATGAAATTTACATACAAGTGGTACTACATGGAAAGTATCATGCTAAGCGAAATGAGTCAGAAAGAGAGGGATAGACATAAAAAGATTGCATTCATCTGGGGGACATAAAGTAACAAAATAGGAGATTAATACCCAAGAATAGCCAAGATCAGTACCAGGAGGATTACTCCATGGCTTAGAGGCCAGCCGGGTATTCTAGGCGAAATGGCAGCTCAGATAGAGAAGGGAGCACCACATAAAGGGTGTTTGGAGGATCCTCCCAGGATGGGAGATGCATGCTGAAAGTAGACTATGGACCGAACATGATTGCCACTCAATGCCTCTTTTGCAGACCACAACACCCAAAAGGAGAGAGAGAACAAATGGGAATGCCCTTCCACAGAGGCAGGGTGGGATAGGGGGGAGGGGGGATGGGGGTGGGAGGGATACTAGGATCCATGGTGGAGGAAAATGGGCACTGGTGGAGGGATGGGTATTTGATCATTGTATAATCGAAACCCAAGCACAAAAATTTGTAAATCTACAACTGTACCTCATGGTGTTTCACTAAAAAAAAAAAAAGAAGAAGAAGAGCTTTGGGAAGGGGAGTAGGAATACTTACTAGCTCTCACCGCATACATCAGTGAACAGAATCTCTGATTTAAGAAACTTTTTGGAGAACAAAGAGAGAGCATGGCGTAAAGGTGTTTGTCTTGCATGCAACTCACCCTAGTTCGACCCCTCAGTACCTCCTGTGATTTCCTCCTACACCACCAAGAATCAGTCCTGAACGCAGAGTCAGGAATGGCCCATAAGCATCCCTAGATCTGGACTCACATTCCCCAAATTAAATAAAGAGATACTAGAGAAAGGGAGTTTTAGCATCTTTAAGTTGCTGAAGCACACATACAGCTTCTTCAGAGAGAACAAAAAGAAGAGAAAGGAGAGAATTGAGACAGTCTGAATGTCACTATTATGAACCTTCTTACATACTTGCCTCTTGGGACAGAGGAAAGTGCCAAGGGCTTGCCAAACAACGCATCCAGTGCATGTGGACAGCTGGAAACAGCCAGGCTCGTGTGCACAATTGAGTCTCCATCATCGGAATCTGCCACTTGGTCTCACAGAACCAAGGATATGTCAACTTCAGCTAAATGCTATAAACCAGATCTGCAGACCCAGCAAAGCACAGGCGGTGACCGGTGTCTCTGGGGATGTATTTCAGCACCAAATACAAGCCACATATGCCCTCTGATAAACATTCCACACTCTGCGGAGAGAGAAATCCAACAAATACAGAGGTTCCTTTCACGACTTCCCATTGAAAGCGTTCATTTTATTCTGCTGTTTGAAGAAACAATTTTTAACCTGCATCTAAACAATTTTTAACCTGCATCTGAATTTGTCATTTTAGGAAGTAAGAGTTAGAGAGAAGTTGGGGCAGAGTCCTGCTTTATCTCATGCATTTCTGAAAGCAGGTTCTAATCTCAGCAAAGAAGGAAACATTTAAGCTTTGAACTTGGTTCATTCACTCGTTTATTCCTCCATCAACTGTTTATGGCTTTCTTTTCTGTGCTAGATATTGTTCTGAGGATGGGGGATTATGCAGGGAAAAACCCTAAAATGTAGTCTTCGTGGAGCTTAGATTTGGATGGAAGAGATTAACAATAAGACCGAAAACATCAACAGATGAACGAAGGCCAGAGAGGCATAGGTCTCATAAAGAAATATAAAGAACGAGTGGACTTGCAGATAAAATTGGCAGGAGGGAGCAATTTTGCAGTAGAACAGTGAGGAAAAGCCTCCCCAGAAAGGAACAATTGAACAGTTTGCTGCTTGCATGAGAAGAGCAGTCCAGAAAAATATTAGAGGGGGAGCTTTATGAAAATAGAAGAAACCAAGTCCCAAGGCAGAAAATAAAAAAACCAACTTAATCTGTTCAAGAAGAAGTCAGAGAGGAGCTGGAGCAATAGCACAGCAGGTAAGGCATTTTCCTTGCACACAACGGACCAGGGGTTTGGTTCCCAGCATCCCATATGGTCTCCCAAGCACCGCCAGAAGTGATTCCTGAGTGCAAAGCCAGGAGTAACCCCTGAACATCGCCAGATGTGACCCAAAAAGCAAAAAAAAAAAAAAAAAAAAAAAAAAAAGTCAGAGAAATTGCAGAAAGGTTAAGACCTTTGCTTTGCATACAGAAACCCTGGTTTAATCCCTAACTAGCACAGCAAGGTTCCCTAAGATATCCTCAGGCTGTAGCCCCTCAAAAATGAAAATAAAAAAAGTTAAAAGAGAAAAGAACAGCAAGAGGCTAGTGTGCCCAGAGAAAAGAAAGCATGGAAGGTTATGGAATTTTCTTACCCCAAACACCACCCGACTTAGCTTGCTGGACCGACACTGACACTGCTTTAAATCAAGACTCCACCCACCCACCCTACCCACGCCCTTGATCTCCAACCTGACACAAAAGTCACCTTTGCTTTAATTATTTAATAATTTTTTTATCACCCAGGACTTCAAGTACCACCTTGAGTCTAATTCAAGACAGTTAGCTTTCTCTTGAAGCCAGACGAAAAGTGGAGTAGCAGAATAGAGAGAAAGTTGGGCTTGGGAGTTAGAAGGGTTGGGGGGTGCTTCAGAGAAAAGCTGGGCTTCCGGGAAGAGTAGGAACGCCTTTCTATTTTGCTTGTTTGTTTAGGGGAGTAGGGTGTCATACCCAGCAGCGCTCAGGCCCTTCTCTCTGGATTCTGAATCACTCCTGGTGGTGCTCAGGAGACCATAGAGGATGCCAGAGACCAAAACCAGGTCGGCCGCATACAAGACCCTACCAGCTGTACTATACAGCTCTAGCCCCCAGAGAACGTTCTTCTTTGGTTGGGGGATATCAGGATCGTTTCTGGCTCCGGATTGACCCTGGTGACATGGTTTGTTTCCCAGACCAGGAAGCAGGAACTCAGAAATAAATCCGCCAAAGGTCTGAGTCACACCTGCCCGACTCCACATACTGCGGATGCCAGAGACGAGGCGGGTGGGGGTGGGGGCGTGGTGAGGGTCATTAAATTGTGTTGGGGTGGGGAGGCAGAGCCCCACCAAGGCAGCCTCCTTAGCAGACGGAAGTGTGCTCTGCCCGCCGGCTGTCAGTTTCATCTGATGTCCGCTGCCGTCCCACCCGTGTTTTTTTATTGTTATTATTATTATTACACAGCTGTGATCGCCCTTCAAATACTTGTCACCGTGGTTCTCGGGCATGTAACTGATATGATTAGGGAGCATGGTATCTTGTGTAATCGGTCATAATCGCCATCAGA